TAGCAAACGTTGCTTGGGGATAACCCAGCAGTCAGGGAGCAGCTAGTCCCAGCAAACACACACACTAAATCAGACATCAATACAAGCAGAGAAGCGACAGTTGCCTTACCTTGCTCCTGATCTGCCCTGAGGTGGACACTTTCCGGATGAGTTTCTGGGGGCCTTCCTGTTCTGCCTCGCTATCGGAGGACTCCTCCGTAGCGCCAGAGCCGGCGACAGCGCCCACCACATGGGCATGGATCCCCGCCGCGGACGGCGGCCCTTTCTCCGGCTCCTGTCGAGGGGAGGGATAAAACCAATCGGGGTTAGCCTTCGCCTCCGCCGTCCCCTTCCTCTCCTGGAGGCGAGAGCTGCTCAGCGGCTGGGAAGCGTCTCTCCTCGCTGTCATCTCTCACTGCCTCTATGACAATAAAGACGGCTGTGTTTGCTGGAGTGTGTGTGGGCCGGAAAACGCATAGGGGATGTAGCATGTCGCGGCACAGCGGGGATGGGCTACACGGCGTTTATATATAGATATTAAAAAAGGAGCCGAGTCTCTGTTTTGTTGCTGGTTATGGTTCCAGCCTGCACGGCCAGTCCAGACTGAGGCTACAGACCGCCTCATCCACTCCGTAAACCGGGAAACTTGTCCGTGGAATGGCAGACCCTAGCGGCTGTCTGACACAAACACGAGAGAAATTAAACTACTTTTGAGTTGTTGCTTTTGCCTGATGTGATGTTGAATAACTAATATGCACACAAAGACTATTATGAGTAGGTTTCTAATATACACATCACAGTGATAACTAGCTAAGAGGTATATGGTAGTGGCACTGTAATTCATAGAAATAGTCTCATAATATTTGTTTCTATTTATAGCTGCTGTTGTGGGCCTAATGAGAGCTATATAGGAGTTATGAACATATAGGCCACAAAGGCATATTTTCTGTATTTTCTTCAATATTTTTCTATAAATATAAAATTTTTCTGTGTTATAATCCAAGTCCAAGAAATTCACTTTTATGTATGTAACTAAACCGTTAAACTGATTCGACAAGACAGCGTTAAATTGAATTTCCATGAAGCGGACAACAGTTTTACTTCGATTTAAAACTAAAGGAAATGGACAGACTATGTGGGTGAAAAAAGAATCAAAAACTGTTGTTTATCTGAGAACTGTTAACTAAGACTTACGAACGTCCCACGACACAATTTAAACGGGCCACTTATTTAGTTATTTATTTAACAGAATGACAGCCGTCGTAATAACGCCAATGAGGGGGTAAAGGCACCTCGCGCGCGCAGTCTTTAGCGGACCAAACACCGCCAAAGTGTGCAAACTTACAAACAGACCACGCAAGACGTCTCACTGTTTTCCTTTCTCTGGAAAAAAAAGTAGAATGGGATGCGGAGCGATTCAAAACAAAGTCTCCACCAGTTTTGAACGTTACTAACCAGTTCGTCCCAGGCTGGGCTGCGGCTGTAAGGGTAGACATCTTCCATAGTCCCAGACCTCAGCGTCCGCTCCGGAGAGAAAAGAAACGAAATTAGGGAAGGAAGGTGGAGGAATTCACAACCTGCCTCGCGCTCGCTGGCCTCGCTACGCCACTCATGTGCACACCGAACAGATTGGACTACACACTCGCCTCGTCCTCCCACCGCTCTCCTCTCCTCCTCCCGTCCGCTCCTTTCCTTCTCCTCCTCCTCCGCGACGATCTCTCTCTTCTTTCAAGAACCGGGCTTATTGGCCTTACACGTGATAAATGTCAAAGCGATTTAAACTGCCGGGGCTCGCTCGGCGCCGCTCG